CCTTTATAAAGTATCCTAAACTATTTGCGCCCCGCTTTTGCGCAGGGGTTGGGTACGTCGCCAGGGTAATTCCTTTTTTTTCCCAACCCTCCTGCGTTGGGTTCTCGTTTTGAATACAGTACTGCTCGCGCGAACCTTCCTTCCCGTCCCTCTCCTCCCCCCTACCTCGCCATCCCTGGAGGGCTGCGATCTGTGAAATTGTCGCCACTTTCGAGGGCTGCTGAGGGGCGCAGCGCAGTGGGTACTCACCGGAGACTCAGAGTAGACCTCGCCATCCCTGGGGGGCTGCGGTCTGTGAAACTGTCGCCACTTTCGAGGGCTGCTGAAGGGGCCCAGCACAGTGGGCACCCACCGCATATTCAAACTAGACATCGCCATCCCTGGGGGGCTGCGATTTGTGATACCGTCGCCACTTTCGAGGGCTGCTGAGGGGCCCAGCACAGTGGGTACTCACCGCCGACTCAAATTAGACCTCGCCATCTCTGGGGGGCTGCGATCTGTGAAACTGTCGCCACTTTCGAGGGCTGCTGAAAGGGGGCCCAGCACAGTGGGTACTCACCGCAGATTCAAATTAGACGTCGCCGTCCCTGGGGGGCTGCGATCTGTGAAAATGTCGCCACTTCCGAGTGCTGCTGAGGGGCTCAGCACAGTGGGTACCCACCGCAGATTCAGATTAGACCTCGCCATCCCTGGGGGGCTGCGATCTGTGAAACTGTCGCCGCTTTCGAGGGCTGTTGAGGGGCCCAGCACAGTGGGTACTCACCGCAGACTCAGAGTAGACCTCGCCATCCCTGGGGGGCTGCGGTCTGTGAAACTGTCGCCACTTTCGAGGGCTGCTGAGGGGCCCAACACAGTGGGTACTCACCGCATACTCCGATTAGACCTCGCCATCCTTGGGGGGCTGCGACATGTGAAAGTGTCGCCACTTTCGAGGGCTGCTGGGGGGCCCAGCGCAGTTGGTACTCACCGCGGGTTCACATTAGACCTCGCCATCCCTGGGGGGCTGCGATCCGTGAAATTGTCGCCAATTTCGAGGCCAGCTGGGGGGCCCAGCGCAGTGACGCCACACGCAGACTCAGATTAGACCTCGCCATCCCTGGGGGGCTGCGATTTGTGAAACTGTCGCCACTTTCGAGGCCTGCTGGGGGGGCCAGCACAGTGTCGCCACGCGCGGACCCAAATTTGAGCTCGCCATCTCTGGGGGGCTGCGATCTGTGAGACTGTCGCCACTTTCGAGGGCTGCTGAGGGACACGGCACAGTGGGTACCCACCGCAGAGTCAAATTAGACCTCGCCGTCCTTGGGGGGCTGCGAGCTGTGAGACGGTCGCCACTTTCGAGGCCTGCTGAGGGGCCCAGCACAGTGTCGCCACGCGCGGACCCAAATTTGAGCTCGCCATCTCTGGGGGGCTGCGATCTGTGAAAATGTCGCCACTTTCGAGGGCTTCTGAGGGGCACAGCTCAGTGGATACCCACCGCTGACTCAAATTAGACGCCGCTTTCGTCCTTGTTCTCCTCCTGCAGTCACCTTCCCTCTGCTGCTGCTGCCGTGCTGATGGTTCGGCTTCCCGCACGTTTTTCTCCTGCTCTGCTTTCCCGACTCCCCCTGTCCTCTTCGAGCCTGTAGCTGTCGCCCCTCGTTCTTGTATGGTTCTCCTGCGCATCATGCCATAGGCGCGTGTCCCAAGTAGCTTACACATCAAGTTGGTTGTCCATGCAAGTTTCGGCGAACTCCTCGTTTCCATCGATACAAATGGGTTGGGTACGTCACAGGGTAATTTGTTGTTGTTTTCCTTCCCTACGACGCGACCAGGAGGGGCCGCCTTTTTCTTAAGTCGGACGTGCCCCTCTCCACGAGGAATGCGCACAAATAGTCAAAAACTAGTCAAGGGATGATTTTTTAATATTATTTTCCAACCCTCCTTGGTTGGGTATTCGTTTTGACTAGCAGTGTGGTCTCCACTTCCTCCTTTCCTCCCTCCTGTCTCCCGTCCCGCCTCCCTCTTGCCTCCTCCTGTCTTGCCTGCGGGGGGCTGCGACCTGTGAAACTGTCGCCACTTTCGAGGCCTGCTGGGGGGCCCAGACAGTGTCGCCACGGGCAGACTCAAATTAGACCTCGCCATCCCTGGGGGGCTGCGATCTGTGAAAATGTCGCCACTTTCGAGGGCTGCCGGGGGGCCCAGCACAGTGACGCCACGGGCAGACTCAAATTAGACCTCGCCATCCCTGGGGGGCTGCGATCTGTGAAAGTGTCGCCACTTTCGAGGCCTGCTGGGGGGCTCAGCACAGTGGCGCCACGGGCAGACTCAAACTAGACCTTGCCATCCCTGGGGGGCTGCGATCTGTGAAACTGTCGCCACTTTCGAGGGCTGCCGGGGGGCCCAGCACAGTGACGCCACGGGCAGACTCAAATTAGACCTCGCCATCCCTGGGGGGCTGCGATCTGTGAAAGTGTCGCCACTTTCGAGGCCTGCTGGGGGGCTCAGCACAGTGGCGCCACGGGCAGACTCAAACTAGACCTTGCCATCCCTGGGGGGCTGCGATCTGTGAAACTGTCGCCACTTTCGAGGCCTGCCTGGGGGGCCCAGCCCAGTGACGCCACGGGCAGACTCAAATTAGACCTCGCCATCCCTGGGGGGCGGCTGCGATCTGTGAAACTGTCGCCACTTTCGAGGGCTGCCGGGGGGCCCAGCGCAGTGACGCCACGCGCGGACCTCAATTTGACCTCGCCATCCCTGGGGGGCTGCGATCTGTGAAATTGTCGCCACTTTCGAGACCTGCTGTGGGGCCCAGCACAGTGACGCCACGGGCAGACTCAAATTAGACCTCGCCATCCCTGGGGGGCCGCGATCTGTGAAATTGTCGCCACTTTCGAGGCCTGCTGGGGAGCCCAGCACAGTGACGCCACACGCGGACCCAACTTATACCTCGCCATCCCTGGGGGGCTGCGATCTGTGAAACTGTCGCCACTTTCGAGGCCTGCTGGGGGGCCCAGCACTGACGCAACGCGCGGATTCAAATTAGACCTCGCCATCCCTGGGGGGCTGCGATCTGTGAAACTCTTACCACTTTCGAGGCCTGCTGGGGGGCTCAGCACAGTGACGCCATGCGCGGACCCAAATTAGACCTCGCCATCCCTGGGGGGGCTGCGATCTGTGAAACTGTCGCCACTTTCGAGGTCTGCTGGTGGGTCCTGCGGAGCGGGGCACCGCGCGGACCTGAGCGGGACCTCGCCATCCCTGGGGGGCTGCGATCTGCGAAGCTGTTGCCATTTTCGAGGGCTGCGGGTGGGTCCTGCGGAGTGAGGCACGGCGCGGACCTGAGCGGGACGACCTCGTCGTCCCTGGGGGGCTGCGATCTTCGAAACGATCGCCAGTTTCGAGCGCTGCTGGTTGGTCCTGCGGAGTGAGGCACCGCGCGGACCTGAGCGGGACCTCGCCGTCCCTGGGGGGCTGCGATCTGCGAAGCTGTCGCCACTTTCGAGGGCTGCTGGTGGGTCCTGCGGAGTGAGGGCACGAGGCGAGAGCCCCGAGTGTCTAACCGGTCACTTCTGCAACGTCGGTACGACCCTCTAAGCGCAAGCACTGCTTGGGGAATGGATCTACCTCTGAGGGGCTTCTGCAGTCATCTCAGATTGGGACCCGTTTGGGAGCACTCGAGGCCCTCCTGGGGCTCCTCTATGGGGGCCTCTGGGGCCCACTTGGAGCCAATACGGAGGCCATCCATCCAAGCAGGGGGGGCCCTAAATTGCCCCGAGAGGGTCTCTCCTCGCCTCCTTCCTCCGCCTCGTCCTCCTCCTTCTCCTCCTCTACCTCCGCCTCTACCTCCTCCTCCTCCTCCTCCTCCTCCTCCTCCTCCTCCTCCTCCTCTCACCTCCCCCCCCTCTTCGCCTGGAGCCCGACGATTCGCCTCTTCTCTGTGCCCTTTGGGGGGCCCTCTTGGGGGGGGGCTTCGGGGGGGCCTTCGGGGCTGTCTTGCAGGAACCCCGGGCCCCTTTTGGGGCTCTCTTGGGCGACCCCCGCGCACGAATCCCGAACAACTGGTTCCACGTGGGCCACACGCGCGCGCCGCCGCCGCGGCGCGTGCCGAGACGTGTCCGCAGCCACTGGTGCTCACAGAAGGTCAAGCCAGAGCTCTTCAGATACCACGACGGTAGGACCCGAAGATCTTCCAAACAAATCTGGGAACAGTCTTCCTCGTCGTCATTTTTGGAGTCCCGAAACGGTGCGGCGACACACCGTGCGGTGACCTCGAAATTCCCCAAGACCTCACCGCACGGTCCGTCACCGCACGGTGTTGGGACCCTGGAGGCCCCTGTCGCCCGAGACATCCTCGGAGAGGGATCCGAGTCCCAAAACCGTGCGGCGACCCCGAATCCCCACCGACTCACCACACGGTGTGGTCACCACACCGTTTGGGGGCCCCCGAAACTCTTCACGACGCATCCTTGTCCCATGGCGCGCGAGAAGACGACATGGCAAGCGCGATCGAATCAACAGCATTTGGTTCTGCGCTTGCAGATGTTGGCCTCTCGGGGCTATCCTCGAGAGGCTCCGTGTCCACGTGGAGCTGTCTTGGGGTCCACTGACCGTGCATGAGCTCTTCCGGATCCCTCTTGGAGAGCGGTTTGGGTATTTTTGAAAGCATCGGAGGGTGGATTTGGAGGCTCCGAGGGCCCCGGCATGCCCCCCCCCCCTTCCAGTGCCATCTTGGACCCTGGGAGGGATGCAGGGGCAGGGGGACAGCCAATCATCCCACACGCCGTCTCATCCACCCCTGGCAAGCGGGGGTCGACGGAGTGTTTTGGTGGGTCGGAGAAAGGGCTTCAGCTCAAGCTTTCCATTGCTGGGTGCGTTAGAGTGTTTGCCCGTGCGGCTCCCAGGCGTGGTCATGCTCCGCCGATCAGACCCAGCACTTGCGCATCATGCTCTGTTCATTGTGCCCTTTCCTCCTTTCCCTCCAGGTCACAATCTGCCTGCTTCTGCTCGTGCCTCCCCCCCCTCCACCTTGCCATCTCCGCTCCGCAGGTTTCCCTGTTTGGGAGGCCCCCTCGTCAGGCCCGTCATCAACCGTTGGACGCCCTGGACGTGGTCGGCTCGATCGAGATGGTTGGAGCGGCGCGCTCCAGCCAAATACGCACCGAACCTTAGCTTCATTTCCTCCACGCCTCTCCGGTGCCGATGGCCAATCTCGCCTCCGTGTGTATTGCGTTTTTATCGCTGTGGGGTGCAGCTGGGGTCCAGGCTCTGGGGGTCCACGAGGCGCTCGCCTCGTCGAGGAAGCCCAGGAAGAATGGCACCACGGACGCCCGCCTCGGCGCGAACCTGACGCTGCTGATGGACTCGTGCCAATACATCGAGGTCCCTGCAGGGTCAGCCGGTTATGTCCATTTGCCTTATGCCAGTGGGATTCGATCGCTGTCGATGTGGTTCGCACCGTACAAGGACTTGGGATATTCGTGGGAGTACATCGTGGACGCGCGTACTGGTCTCGGGTCTGGATGGTTTTCTTTCCTAAATTCGATGACATCGATTCACAAGGGTACTAATTGGCGTGACACTATATATGTCAATGGGGTGGCTACTACCACTTCGGGACTGATATCTGCTATCACTTCTGCCTCATACACGTCTGCCCCGTGGGTTCACTTGTACATCGCTGCAGATACCACTTTCGGTGACGATATATTGCTGTTCTCGCGGTACACTGGCAATGAAGGCATGCCTGGGAAAATCTACTCCGTGCAGTTGTGGCCATCTGAGTTGTCAGCGGCTGACATCTCGAACACGATGCACGGAATGGCGGCATCGGTGACGCCCGTGGCCTCCTACTCGGCCGCAGACATGACTGCCTTCAAGCACGGGCACGCGACCCTCGTGTCGGCAAGCCTCGAGCCATACTGCCCGCCTTCGTATGCGGCCCCCGCCTCGGCTGCCCCGAGGGCGCCGTTCGAAGAGAGCACGGCGGCACGCGCGTGCGCTCCTGGAGCTCCGCGCGGCGCTCCCGGCTCGGCGCGGGGCGCCGGGCCCCGCGCGGGGCCGAGGAGTCCGCGCGCGGCTCCGAGCCGCACGGTGCCCTCTGCCGCCGTGGCTCCTGCTGCTCGGGGCCGCGGGCGGCCGTCCGCCCCATGGGCCATATCGATAAGTTGAGTCTTAACCAATTCCTGACTTATGTGTTCAATGGGTACCTAATCCACTATGGGTTGTACTTAGCAGTATGCTATCAGATGTTATGCCATCCTATGCATGGTGTCATCTTATCGGATGTCATGTGCCCTAAACTAGGTCGTGGTCTAGAATAGACTGAAAGCTTTATAACTTGAGGGCTCGGAGCGCGCGCGCCTCGAGTCTGACGATCAGTTTCGATGCTGAGCCCCGTCGAGTGCTCCAGTAGATGGACAATCTGTTCGAAGCCTCACGCATTCGAGGGAGATTCCAAACCACCCCCGCGCCCCCGACATCAAGGTTGATCTCCGTAAGGGCGGTGCTTTGGGGTTCGAACGCTTCTCTCCACTCACGCCCCCCCCCCGTCGCCACGCCATCAGTATTGGTTCCAGGGGGTCTGGGGGGCATCTTGAGCCACAGGGTTCGCATCTGCTGTCCATGCACGGTGCCACCGGAGGACGGACGGGAGGGCACCGCTGGAGGCCTCCTGGGCCGTGAGGCCCCGGTGCCGATCAGGAGCAACCGCGCCCGGAGCTCCGACGCACCGACAGAGCTCGGAGCGGCGGGCTTTGGGGGCCGCCTTCGGCGTCCTGGGGCCCTCGCTCGGTCTCGGGGCCGTCCAGAAGCCGACTCGGGGCGAGAAGCTGGCCCCAGTGTGGGGAGGTGGTCCAGGGCCCAGGGCCCACGCGTCGGACAGATGAGAGCAGGCGGATGTCTGGGCATGTGCTTCCACCTGGAGGACAGGCTGGAGAGAACGACTGGAGACCTCCACTGTCGATGAGGCCGTCAAGGAGGATCTTGTGGCGCTCGTCCGTGCATGCATTGTCAGGGATGCGCTCCCAGACACGCGTATGTTCCGATGCTTTCTCTACGCGTTCCCCGGAAGTCCCGACTCTTTCTTTCCCCAGGGCCGGTTCTTCGTCCCGCACTGTTTCTTCACGCTCCTGGGGGCAGGTGAGGACCCAGAGGCCAGAACCGTGCAAAAACTTGCCGTTCGGGGCTCAAGAAACGGGGGTCCGCCAGAGCGCTGGATCTAGCAGGATCTTGCAGATCTGAGAGAGATAGAGAGAGAGAGAGAGACCCAAAAGGGCCCCAGGAGGGCCCAAAGGGAGGACAAGCCAGCCATCTCGTGCTCTCTCAGTGGGAGGGCGCCTTGCGCCCCCGTGCTTGCCAGGTTTTTATACGCCTCTGGATCGATGGGCTGGCACATGATGTGCAGATTGCGTCGCAGTTGCTATTGGCTAGCTATCAGCTGCGCTCCTGCGATCTTGCTTGCGATCACTGCGTTCTCATCGATGCCTGCCGGCTTCACGACTCAGTGTTTTTCTTTGCGCATTGCCCGGATCTGGGCCCGTGAGAGCAAGGGCTGCGCCGCGTGCCAAGGCTGCGCCGACGACTGCCCCGACTGCCTTCCCGACGGCCTTCCCAACGCCCTTCCCGTCGGCTTTCCCGACGCCCTTCCCGACGGCCTTCCCGACGGGCTTCCCGACGCCCTTCCCGACGGCCTTCCCGACGCCCTTCCCGACGGGATTCCCGTCGGCTTTCCCGACGCCCTTCCCGACGGCCTTCCCGACGGGCTTCCCGACGCCCTTCCCGACTGCCTTCCCGACGGCTTCCCCGACGCCCTTCCCGACCGATACCCCGACGGCCCATCATGATCCGTGCGCGGAGTACGCCGGGGAGTACGAGGTGTGGTACCAGGGCGCGAGGCGAGACACAAACATGATCATTGTCTGCGACTGCTCTGCGACCCAACCAGGGATCTCCGCCACAAATACATACCGCAGACGCCCTCCCATGGATCGCTCCTGGGCCTCAGGGGAGGGTGGCGGTGTATAGGTCACCGCCGAGAGCCGGCGACTTGCTGCACCGCCACCTTCCCTGAGGGCACGTGCAGAACTCGTCGGAGGGTGTCCGCGCACAGATTTTCTCTGCACGAACGAAATGGGTACAGAAAGAATGGGTACACTGCCCAACAGCAGTTCCTGCTCCTTTTGAGCAGGACTCACTGTCCGCGCCGCCGCGGCCTGCGTCCATTCGAGACAGAAGGCCGCCTGCCCAACAGCGGCCGCTGCTGGTTTGGGGCAACATTTGCTGTTGGGCATCGTACCCCTTCTTTCCGTACCCATTTCGGGCGTCCAAATTTTCGTGGCGCAGGATCTTCTCGGACTGGCTCCGCTTCGACGACGTGCCGGGGGTCAACCGGCCAGCCTCCCGGTGCACGGGCTGCAAGGGGCTCTCGCCCTCTGCCGCGCCCCCCCCCCCTCTTGGATGGGCGCGCGGCCCGGGGGCGGTCGGGTCGGCACGCGCTGCGAGGGCTCCTCTCGGGCCCTGCCGGGGGGCCTCATGTCGGGTATAGCCAGGACCCCGGGTGAGGGGACCCACTTAGTGGTAGGGCCCTGGGGCCCCTCAACTGGCCAGGTTCACTAGACCAGGTTTGCCGTAACCGGTGTTTCTCGGGTGACGGCAGTTCCGGTTCGTGGAAATGGGGCGGGGGGGGGCGCCCCTGGTACCGTCGGGGCGTTGAAGAAGGAGCCCTTTTCGTTGGAGAGGGGCTCGGTGTTCCTTGATTGTTCTGCAGTTTGCGTTCCGTGTTCCTGAGGTCTTCCATGGGAAATCGAAGTTTAACTTACGGGAAAAACGGGCCCCGTTCCTTATCTAGGGTTCTTTGGGTCCACGCCCCGACTGCACAACTCACGAAACCAGGTTCCACTAAGCCCAGTTCTGCCAAACCCCGATCATGTTCAGGAGGGAAAGAAACACACAGACACAATTCATCGTCGATTCCTCAGAAAATATGGGAAAATATGGGAAGTGGGGGAGAAGACAATAACCCAGAACATATGGGAAAATATGGGGAACTATTTTATTTGTGTGTATTTATTTGTGTGTCCTTGGGCCCCTTCACATGTGGGCAGCGTCTGGCTCCTCCCGGGCCTCTCCGGGCGCTCCCCGGGCCCTCTCGGGGCCGCGCCGTCTTGGGGGCCTCTGGGCTGCGCGTGGGGCCCCGGGGGGGGGGCCCGCGGGAGGGTCCGGGCGCTGCTGGGAGGCCCCACGAGGCTCAGGGAGGCCCTCGGGGGGCCCGGGGAGGTTTTCGAAGGCATCGTGACGCTTTGGGCCGCCCGGGGGGGCTGTGGCAGGCCTTGGGAGGCACCGTGGTTCCATGCAATGTTGCAAAAGCCGTGTGTCGATGTTGCGACTCATCACGGCCATGTAGCCCGGGCCCCCCGCGTCGACTGCACGGACAGCAATGATGCCCCTGAAGAGAGAACGAAGTTCATCTGCTGTGCGCTTGAGGGTCAACGCCCAGCACGGTGGGCGGTTGGTAGCGACAGCGAGGTCGCCAGGCCCGAATGTCCCAACGCTCGATAGGCTTCCACGACGGCCCCAGAGAACCCCACGGGGAGGCGGGGCTCGTTCCGATTTCGATTCGATTCGATCCCATTCGATTTGAGTCGATTCCGATTCCGATTCGGTTCGACTTTTGATTCCGATTTGGGATCCGATGCCGTGATTTTTTCCGACCTGGTTGCCGATCTCCGCCGATCCGCATCGTGTCGATCGCCGATCCGACTGCGCGATGCGATTCTGCGTCCTCAGGGGGGGGGGGGGCCTGGCAGTATCATGTCAGGAGGGGAAGAATCACACAGACACAATTAATCGTGGACCCCAGGAAAATATAGGAAAATATGGGAAGTGGGGGGGAAGGCGAACACCCAGACCAGAGGGCCCCCCGCGGAGCAGGGCAGTCCGAGGCGGACCCTCGGGGCATGAGAGGAGGAGGAGGAGGAAGGAGGGAGGAGGAGGAGGAGGAGGAGGAGGGGAGGACGACGAGGAGGAGGAGGAGGAAGGAGGAGGAGGAAGGAGGAGGAGCGGAGGCGGAGGAGGAGGAGGAGGAGGAGGAGGAGGAGGAGGGAGGAGGAGGGGAGGAGGAGGAGGACGTGGAGGAGGAGGGGGACGAGGAGGAGGCGCATTTGGCAAGTGATCGTGGCGAGGCGAGTCCCATTCTATTGCACAGGAGGCTGCGGCCTTGGAGGCGATGGCCCGCTGCTTTTTCAGTGCCGTCGTCTCCGGGGCGCGGGCCCAGCGGGTGGCGGGAGGCGCCCAACCGCTCGGATGTCGAGGCGTTCGTGCAGTTGCTGGGTGTCTCCAGAAGGCGTCTTGGGCTTCAAGGGATTCCCCAAACGGCCCAAGATTAGGGAAACAAAAAGTGACATAAACATAAAAACTCGAAGGTCCGCGCGGATTTCTCGGATCGGCGCTGGGGCCCCCCGGCGGCGCCTCCGGCGCCGCCCCTGGAGCGCTCCGCGCGCCAGGGAGGGGGGTCCAGCGCCGATCCGATAAATTCGCGCGGACCTCCGAGTTTTTATGTTTATGTCACTTTTTGTTCCCCTAAAGATGGAAGACTGTCAAGAGGTTCGCGAGAGGCGTCGAAATCGTCGCCACGAAGCCTGGACAACCTAATTCGCTTAGGCCAAACAGGCCTTGGGTTGTTCGATTGGATTGGTGCTTCGGGTCTTCGGAGCAACCCTTTTTCAGGAGGGGGTCAAGGGGGTTGCACGACGGGTAAAGAGGGGCCTAAACAAATCACGCAATGACTTGGGAAAACGCCACAAGGTCAGCATTATTGTCCAGGAGGTCGATAGGAAGGGCACGAGACGGCCTAAGCGAACCCGAGTACGGCCCCAGACAGCGACAAGAGGAAAGTGGCCGAAGACGCCCGAAAACTGTCCAAGGAACTCAAGATGTCCACACATACTCCACGTTTCGAATTTGTACTGCGTGTGTGTGTGTGTGTGTGTTGCAGTCGTACCGCATGCAAGTAGTATGTGTTTTGCACGTGCATTGTATTTTCATTCCACCTGTAAGGTGGTTGTGCTGCATCTGTATTGGCTTTGGCATAGACTGCGCCGCACGGGTTGCATTCGATATATTCCATCCCGTAATGTGCAATACCATGTGCGAAGTTCTTGTATTTATATATATATACATCTATGTGTAAAGGCTCCACGTTCGAATATGTTTCTCGCAACCTCGCCCGTTCAGCGGCCATTGTATTACATGCGTTGTTATTGCTCTTTTTTGACTCGTGCGCGCTGGTCTGGCACCTTGTCCACATCGTTGTCGTGATCGTCGTCAACTGATGATGGTCGTTGTCGTCGTCATCTTCGTGGTCGTGGTCGTGGTCGTCGTCGCCGCAGTCGTCATCGGTGTCGTCGTCGACGTCGCCGTCGTGGTCGTTGCTGGCCCGGCAAAGCGGACGGACCATGCTGATTGCAAGGTGCGTTTGGCCCGCCAGGTGTTCACGGACCGGGACGAGTCGGGGGGGTCCCCCCTTGCTTGCACGGGGTGCGGCCCTACCCCTCCCCCCTGACCGACATCAGGGGGCTTCGGGATTGGTGGCGGAGGAGGGGCGGGATGCCGGGGCGGTTGTCGGGTTCCAGTCGAGCCCGCAGCTGCCTCTCAGGCTTGCCTATTGTGCAAGGCTTTCCCCCCCAAGCTATCCAACCTTTGGCAGCCGTTCGGACCCTACCACGACTGCTACAAAGGATGATCATGTTCACTTTGCTGAAGCCGTTTGGCCAAACTTACGGAGGGAACCGCACCTTCGCAGCCTGGTGGCCCGCCAGGGTCGGCGTATATTTCGATCCAGTGACGCTCATTCCTTGGGCGATGTACATCTTGGAGAGCCACGGGGAGGGCAAATACGAGTGCCTGGGGAGCAGCGGTTCTACGATCTCAGGCAACCATTACACTGCTCCGAACCAGTACTGGGGCAGCGTCGAGTACCGGCTCATGACTTCCGCCGTCTGTGCCACCTCGGCGCCAACGCCTGCCGTCGTCGTTCCCACGAGCGGCGCCATGGGCACCGTCGCCGCCACTGGCGATCCGCATTTGCAGAACATCCATGGTGAGCGGTTCGACCTGATGATGCCAGGCAGGCACACCCTGATACACATCCCACGGAAGGCAAGCCTCGAGAACGCGCTGCTCCATGTGGAGGCAGAGGCGCGAGGGCCGATAGGCGGCACAGAAAATGAGCTCTCTCGCAGATCAGCACGAGCGACATGCACTCACACTTTCGGAGGCTTGTGTGGATTTCTTGGATGGTCATCGGACCCCTCCCTGGCACGCGAAGAGCGCAAGGGGCGGCGCCAGAGGCGCGGCCTGGGAGTGTCCAGCTCGGATCCAAGAGGTCCTCGCGGACCTCCAGAAGTTTGTCCTCATGCCTTTTCCTTCCTCCACCAAAGACGTCGCATACGTCGGAGCACAACAAATGTTCATGAATATCTTTCCTGGCCGCCGGGGGGCCTTGAAAGCTGAGTTTCGCAGTAGCAGCCGCAATGGCGTTGTCCCGATGACGACGGTGCAGGCCCTCTTCGGGGGATGGCCAGCCGATTCCGCGGGCCCCAGCCGGCCCCGCCCCCGCCGACGATGCCAGGGCATTCTGAGTGCAACATCGATGCATACCCCAAACCCCATCAGAATACGGCTATGAGCATATACCGACAAGTGTATACACCGATCGCGCCAGATCGGCGTATATACCACCAAGTAATGAGCGAGTGTCAGCATACACCGAAATTGGTTTACACCAGTCACCTGGGCATACATTAACGCGGCGCGGGAACGACGATGAGGTTTCCAAATTCTATCGCAGCAGGACGGTTGTATCTGTATAGTTGTTGTCCTCCCAATGCGATAAAGCTCTGGAGTTCCGAGCGGACTTGCTCGGCAGTGCTGGACCCCCTTCGGAGAAGATTATCCACCTCCTCCTCCTCCTCCTCCTCCTCCTCCTCCTCCTCCTTCCCCCATCACAGAGGGGATGAACACATTCAGAGGAAGAGGGGGGAAGAGGAACGAGGGAGGAATGGAGGAGGAGGGGGAGGGAGAGGAGAGAGGATGGAGAGGAGTGAAGAGGGAGCAGGATGAGAATGATGGAGAGGACTGGCTGGATTCTTTTGTTAATCCAGAAACCTGATTTGGACTCTCACCCAAAGCGAAGGAAGCGCAACCACCCCGCGCTCGGCACCGAAAATCCGATTCCGACGTGGCTCTGCAACGCCCTGAAAATACCCCCCCCAGAGGGGCTGAATCTTCGCGCCGTCGCACGTCCCCGTCAGCGCCGTCCCAGCGTCTCAAGACTGCGCACAGCTGAGGGCTCAAGCAGGAGGAGGAGGTGGAGGAGGAGGAGGAGGAGGAGGAGGGTGAGGAGGAGGACGACGACGAAGAGAAGGCCGAGGAGGACGAGGAGGAAAACAGTGCCCCGTGCATACCTCACGCGCACCTCATCCCGGCTGCTCGCCACCACGAGCTTCAGCCACGGAGGCACCGCCGCAGAACGGCCAGCGCCTGGGCTCGCTGCCGGTGCCTCGGCCTGGCCCGCATGCCGTCGCCTGCCCCCAGCGTTAGGTCGGGTCTGTCCCCCTACAAAGGGATTTTCGACGAATAATTAAAAATACCCCCCAAAATAGTCCAAAAATAATCAAAAAAATAGTCTGGGGACTATTTTTGAGTATTTTTTTGCATTTTTGGGGCATTTTGGGGATATTTTCTGTTATTCTTCGAGCATCCCCCTGTAGGGGGACACGCCCGACATCACCCAAGCGCCACCCGCAGCACCGACTTGTCCTCAGGGGAGGAAAAGTTACCCATAACCTCTATCCTTTCCTCGTTTTCCCTTTTTTGGGGCCTCCTGGGAGGCTCTCGTCGCCACCGCTGCATTCGCCTCGAGACTCAAAGTCGGAACGCTACCCCGGGAGAGGTCCAGGAACCAGCGGCATCGGTACCTCTTCATTTCCCCAGACTCGTCAGCCCCGCGCCCCTCCTGCCCTCCGGCGCCCACAATCGGCGCCTGCACGAGCAGCAGATGCTCGTCCTAGTCCAGCTCGTCCCCAAGCCTCCTCGTGGACCACGGCGGCACTCGCCCCCCCTCCACCCCCCATTTAAGGAGCGCTTCTGCTGACTCCTGGGCGGTGGCGGGCGTTACCGGGGGGGGAGGGAGGGGAGGGGGGCGGGTGGCAGCGCGTCACGCTTCGCGCCGGCGCCGTCGTGGAATGCTTAGGGATAGCCTGAAGTCGGGCCTGTCCCTCTACAGGAAGAATATCCAAAAATAGTCACAACAAAAGGGTATCGGGATGTTTTTTTTTGAGTACGTTTGCATATCTTTTGAGTATTTTTCAGACTTTTTGAAATTTAAGTCCGAAATCCGCCTGTAGCAGGACATGCCCGACCTAAGCTTAGGGATAGCCACAGACAGCGTGGACGTCAGCACGAGTCGTGACGTTACCCGCGGGGGGGCCGGGGGGGGCGGCGGCGGCCGGGGCCGGCCACGGCCGCGGTCGCGAAAGGTAGGACGCCCTCCTGCCGAGGAGGACGCGTCGTGCACGACACCCTCGGCCGAAGCCGGCCGTGCAGGGCAGCCACGCGCCACCGCCGTGCCAGCGTCCCGCCGCGGCACTCAGGACGAGCCTCGCGCCTTCCAGTCGCCTCCGAGCGCTCGCCCACGGGCTCCACGGAGGAGTTCGCAGTCTCGTCCACCTCCACCACGTCGTCATCTCATTTCTGGCACCCTCCATCGCTCACATCGTGCGACGGCAGCGCGTGGCCTCAGAGGGGAGCAGGCCATGCCTAGGCTCGCCAAGGCGCGGTGGCGTGCTTCTGCCAGGCGGGACAGCCGCCTCCAGCAGGCGGCCAACGAGCAGGCGGCGGACGAACCTTTGTCCCTGGGGCGGCGCGCTCCCCAACATGTCGTCAAGAGTGTCGACGTCGGTGCAGGAGTCCTACCTCCGCGACGTCCGCCCTCGCGGCATCTGGCATTGCCTCGGGCCTCGCCGGCCCAGGCGGCGCCGCATGCTCGGAGCAGTTCGCGCACTCCAGGCACTCCGCCTCGTGCTTCCAGCCCAGCCCCGTCGGCCGCGACGGTGGCCTCGCCGAAGCTGCAGGAGCGGACGCCCAGGCGGTCCTCGAGGGACCAGTGCACGAGGATGCTCGAATAATGAATGGTATAAACTCTTGGAGCCCCTCGCCGTTCTCTCGGATGTGCATTGGAAACCCTTGGCGGCGCCCCTGGCGCCGCCCCTGGCGCGCGGAGCGCGCCAGTGAGGGGGGGCTCCAAGCGCCGATCCAAGAAGTCCGCGAGGAGCTCCGAAAGTCTCGTGTTCGTGCCGCTTTCTCCTCCCTCTCGAGGCACCCGTGCGCCAGGCTGCCCGACCCCGAAGCCTCTGCTCCGAGCAGTCGCCGCCGCCGCTCTGCTCGGCCTCTCGGGCCCCTCCGCGCGCGCCCTGCGGGCGCTGCCGCTGCGGCGTCCGCGCGCCGGCGGCAGCCCGTGCCCGGGCCTTCTGCCGCGGCCGCGGGCGCGCCCGCGCCGCGGGAGCGCTCGCGAGGGCCTCCCGACGCCCAGCGCTTTTGTGGGCCAGAGGTAGCTACGGGAGGAGAAGGGAGAGCGGGGGGGAGGGGGGGAGGGAGGGAAGGGGGCAGAGGAGGGAGGGAGCGAGGAGGAGGAGGGGGGGAGGAGGGGGGAGGAGGCAGAGGAGGGAGGCAGGGGCAGGAGGGCGAGGGCCGGAGGGAGGGAGGCGGGGAGGGAGGCATATGGAGGGAGGGACGAAGAGAGGGAGGGACGAAGGGAGGGAGGGAGGTGGACCGCTGTGAGCAGGATTCGCGGCCGACGTCGACACGGGTGGTGTCCATCTGATGCGCAGGGCCGCCTGCGCCACAGCGGCCGCCGTCGGTTTGGACATCGCACCCGATTTTTCCGTACCCGTGCCGAGCGTTCCAGGTGGGGAGCTGGGGCCCGACGCCGAGCCCAGGGAAGCCCGCTGCGGGTTTCCTCCGAGGGGGATCTGCCCGTGAGGGGGTATGGATGCATCGACGCCCAATCCTCCAAGGATCTCCGATATGGTGGCCTTGATAGCCCACCCCGCCCAGTAGCGTGGGGATTCGCCACCGGGGATTCGCCATCCGAGGGCCTACCGGGTGGCGTGGAGGAAAGCCGTGGCGGCGAGCACGCCGTAGGCCCCACGGGCCTCCCAGATGATGGGCTCCGAGCAGATTTCTCCTCCTCCTCCTCCTCCTCCTCCTCCCCCTCCTCCTCCTCCTCCTCCTCCTCCTCCTCCTCCTCCTCTTCCTCCTCCTCCTCCTCCTCCTCCTCCTCCTCCTCCCCCTCGCGTCGTGGCAAGAAAGCAAGGCGGAGAGTTCTTGGCCGTCCTCGACCTCCGGGAGCCCCCGCCGGGCCCCAGGACGGGCCAAAGCGACTCGGGATGGACAGCCGGTCCCAGGGAAGGGGTCCACTTGGCATCGCTCGGACGTGTGCATTTTTTTTCGGCGAGAACCATCGAGGACCATCCTGGACCATCGAGCAACAAAAACACGCACGAAACCGACAAATGCACGGGAAATGGACGTCCGAGCGACGGCAAGTCCACGCTGCAAAGAAATCAGGGGAATCACGGCGTCGGGGGTCTGGGTTCGGTGCGATCGAAGCGGATACCATGCCTCATGAATGGGCTCCGAGCAGATAGGGTCTGAGGATCGCGCCGCATCGCGGATGCAGCGGCTCGATGTGGAGCCCGATCTTCTCCACGCCGTCGTCGCTGATGCATCGGCGGTGTCTCTGCGAAGCGGCGCGATCCCTCGACCCTATCTGGGTCTCCAGGGAGCCCTCGCCACGGAGGAATCGGTTCTTAGAGTGAACGGGTCCTGATGTTTGGTTTCCACGCTTTCGGATTGTCAACCGAAAGCGACTCAGGATGAAGCCTGCGTAGGCCCTACACGGTGAGTTGTGCAGCTGTTCGTGTCAAGTCCCACCTCTTTGCCATATTTTCGGTGGCGGTTGTTCGAGGGCGCAAGGGAGACCGTAACGTGTGATGCCTCGTGCCCCAAGGCTCGGGAGAGCCGTAACATGTGATGTACTCTTCCGCGTCGCGTTAGTGATTGTAATGATGACGATAATGACGACGACGCAACGACGACGCAATAACCATAAAAATGACGATGGTGACAATGCTGTCGATTTCTGGGATGGTAACGATGACGAGGAAACTTATGACATGACGACGCCGATGGCGATTGTGATGCCAGTGATGATGCTGCTGCTGATGATGATGTTGATGCCGATGATGCTGATGATGATGCTAATGATGCTGACGGTGATAACGTAAGGATGCTAATGCTGATGTTGCTGATGATGGCGATGATGGATGATGATGGATGGTGAAGCTGGTGATGCTTACGGTGATTGTAGGGGTGCTGATGAAGAGGATGACCATGAGGAGAGGATGCTAATGCAAATCATGATGTCGATGACGATTATGATGATAATGATGGTGATGCTGCTGATGATGATTATGACGACGGCAATGCTGATGATGGTCCGTATGATGAGGCTGATGAGTATGCTGTTGACGACGTCGACAACGATTAGGACTATGATGCTGATGATGATGATGCTGCTGCTGATGATGATGTTGCTATAAGGAGGAGGCGGAGGCAGATGATGATGCTGCTGAGGAGGATGGTGAGGCGGATGATTCTGATGATGATGATGATGATGATTCTTTCTGATGGTGGGGGTGATTTTTTGGCAGATGGCGAAATGCATATTGATGATGGTGCCGATGATGATACTGGTGTTGATGATGATGATGATGATGATGATGATGATGATGATGCTGATGACGGTAACCATGCTGCTGCTGTTGATGCCGATGATGATGATGTTGCTGCTGATGATGATGATTCTGACGCTGTTGCTGCTGATGATGCTGCTGCTGATGGTGATGCTGATTGTTGTGGTGGTGATGATGACGATGATGATAATTACGATGCTGATGACGCTGATTATGATGATGCTGATGATGCTGATGATGATGACGATTACCATGACGATGATGATGTCGATGATGCTGATGATGATGCTGATGCTGACAATCATGATGATGCTGACGACGACGATGATGATGCTGATGCTGATGATGATAATGACGATGCTGATGCTGATGTTGATGCTGATTCTGATGATGTTGATGCCGATGATGCTGATGATGCTGATTATGGTGACGATGCTGATAATGATGATGCTGGTGATGATGATGACGATGACGATGCTGATTATTATGACGCTGATGGTGATGATGATGATGATGATGATGATGATGCTGGTGGTTGTGATGATGCTGATGCTGATGATGATGAGGCTGCTGATGATGATGGTGACGATGATGATGCTGATGATTCCTGTGATGAGGCAGATGGTGATGCTTATGATGATGATACCGATGTTTCTGATGATGCTGCTGATGCTGATGATCATAATGAAGGATGATTATGATGATGCTGATGATGCTGGTGTTGATTAATGATGATGATGCTGATGATGATGATTGATGGTGATGCTGATTATGCTGATGATGATGCTGCTGCTGATGATGCTGATGTCGCTGCTGATGAAGATGATGCTGATGATGACGATTCCGATGATGATGATGATGATGATGATGATGATGATGATGATGATGCCAACGATGCTGATGATGATGCTGACGCTCATGATGATGCTGATGATGATGATGCTGACGATGATGATGATGCTGATAATGATGATGCTGATGATGATGATGACTCTGATTCTGATGAGGATGACGATGACCATGATGATGGTGATGATGATGACGATGACGATGATGCGGCTTATGCTTTTGATGCTGATGATGGTGATGATGATGGTGACGCTGATGCTGCTGCTCATGATGATCATGATGACGATGATGACGATGATGAGGATGATGATGATGATGATGATGATGACGATGACGATGACGATGATGACGACGATGATGATGATGATGATGATGATGATGATGATGATGATGCTGATGATTCCTATAATGATGATGATGATGATGATGATGATGATGATGATGATGATGATGATGATGATGATGATGATGATGATGATGATGATGATGATGATGATGATGATGCTGATGCTGATGCTGATGCTGATGATGATGATGATGATGATGATGATGCTGATGATGATGATGATGATGATGAGGAGGATGAGGAGGAGGAGGAGGAGGAGGAGGAGGAGGGAGGAGGAGGGAGGAGGAGGAGGAGGAGGAGGATGAGGCTGAAGACGAGGAGGAGGAGGCGTGGGAGGAGGCGGAGTGGGAGGGGGGGGGGTGGAGGAGCCGTATTGGGGCCCCCGTGGGAAATCTTGAGGCCGTCTTGGTATCCTCTTGGGCTATTTGAGGCTCTATTGAGCTCTTTTGATGTTGCATTGAGGCTTTTCGAGCCTTCTTGAAATGCTGGAAACCCAACCACGGGAGAATGTGAAGCTCCATCCAACGCTAGCGATACATCAATAGTTATGATATCTTCGGATCCTCTTGGAGTTCTTTTCGAGCCCTCTTTGGCTGACTTGGCAGCCGATTGGGCAGCTGAAAGACCATCTTGGACCGCCTTGGAGCCAACTCGTGCGGTCGCGAAGGATACTGGACCATATTGGCGGCCTTGATGACCTGCCTCTGCCGTTTTGGAAGCCACATTGCGCATCTTGACCGTCTTGGATAGCGCCAGTGGGGCTCCGGGCCGCCCAGGAAGGCTCGGGAAGGGGAGGAGACTTCAGGGACGCGCTGGTGGAGGGGGGTGCCCCCGCCCCCCCCAGAAGACTACAGAAGCCCTACATATCAGACAGCACTTGGTACCGTGTCACGCCTCCACGTGTCAGGGGGCACGGTGGCGGCTTGCTCTCTGGACGTGCGTCATCTGTGGCGCAGCCTCCTCTGTGCAGTCTACGCGGTGCAACTCATGGCTTGCGAGCTGCGCGGTGCAATCTAACACATGTGGTGCAAGGTTGATGCGTGCAGTCCGTGTGGCCCAGGCCATGTGGTGCAGTTCATGTGCTGGAAGCTGCTGTGCGACAGATGTGGTGCAGAGCATGTGGAGCAAGCAGTGCGGTGCAATCTACAGCGGACCCCACGCGGACACCCGCCGGCGCCCACCAGGCGAAACCTCAGTGGACCCAGCCAGCGCACGGGGCGCCCACTAGTCGAAACCCCGTCGGACCCAACCAGTTAAATTATCGAAAGGCGCGCGCACGAGCCCGTAAGTGCAGGCACTGCGTGGGGAAACACGCCAGAAGCGTCAGCCTTCAGAGGTCCGCGCAGGCTCTTCGAATCGGCGCTGGGTCCCCTTCGTCGGCGAGGGGGTCCAGCGACGATCCGAGAAATGGGCGTGGACCTCTGGCAGCTTACGTGCATCTCTACCGTGGACGGAAGCAGTTGACGCGAAATTGACGTTGGAATTTCGCCATCAGTTACGTGTATTTACAGTGGATTCGTAACGTAACGATGGCAGTTTACGTGTATCCACATTGGATTCGTAAAGTTGGAATTTTGCCATTCAGCGTCCGCGGGTTTCAAGCTGGGCACGGTCGGCGGCCGCCGCCGAAAATGTGAAAGAGTACACGCGAATCACACAAGTACAGGCCTTTGGAGCTCCACATCGTCGTGGCCCGGATTGCATTCATCTTCCCTTTGAAACGGCAGAATTCCAAAGGCAGGATCTGGTTTTGCAAGATTTTTCTACATCCCAGGTAGTTTTGTGATGCTTCTATGCTGTAGTCTTTCAGGAGGGGAAGGACACAGACGCAATTGATCGTCGACTCCCAGGAAAATATGGGAAAACATGGGAAGTGGGGGGGAAGACAAAAACCAAGAACATGTGGAATAAACATGGGGAATCCTGTTATTGGTACCTATTTATTTGTGTGTCCCAGGGCCTCTTCGGTCGTTCGGTCCTCTGGCAGGCGCAGCGGCTGGGTGGACAGTGTGCCGACATGTACTTCCAGGAGCTGAACATCACGGGCTCGTGGGCGGAGGCGAGGCAGGCGGGCGGCTTCCGCTTCCGTGCCGCTCCGGGTGCCGGCGGCGAGCGCTCGCGCTGGCTCCGCCTCGGCGACGTGCAGCTGAAGGTCTCCTTCGACGCCGCCGTCGTCGTCGTGGTCGTGGTCGTGATCGTGGCTGTCGTCCCCGTCGTCGTCGAAGGTCGCACACGGGCACACGCGGCAGGGCGCCAGATACTTGAACTTCTACGTCAGGAACCTCGGACACACCAGGCCCGCCATGGAGAACGTGGGGGCCGGAAGGAGCGGGGCTTGAGGCTGCATCCGTGATTGTCGGGCTCGTGGAGCCCTGGCTGGATCCTGGGGCCCTCAGACCACGACTCAGGAGGATCAGTTGGCTCAGGAGGGGAAAATACACGCAGACACAGTTGATGGCGATTCCCCGGAATATAGGGGAATCATATCGTATGGGAGGCGGGGGGGAAGACGAGAACCCAGAACATAGATCGGAGCGTGCAGTCGAGCCGGATTAGTAGGTCGGCCCTGCCAAATCAAAGGGTACCCTTGTGTCCTGTGCCTCGCGACCCATGCTTCTGCATTCATATGGCAACGTGGCCCTCGGAAGGGTCTCGTGTCCTCTCGCGTGCCCTCTTCAATCCACCCCGACCGCATGGTGGATCCTGGGATTCGCGTGCACTTGGCTGCGTGCCCCGAGAGGCCCCTCTGCGGAGCGCCCCCCGAGAGGCCCCGCCCGGGGCCCGCCTCCCTCTCCAACAAGGGCCGCGTTCCTTCCCCCGCCCGCCCGCGGGAGAGGCACGCCGTCGGCGGCCTGCTCGGCGAGGACGACCACTCGAAGGAGGAGGCGCCCATGGACGGCTGCGCGCATCGGATGGCCCTCTAGGCCGATGATCGGAGGAGGAAGAGGTACCCATACCTCTACCCTCTCCTCGTTACCTCTACGCTCTCCTTGTTTTCCCCTTTTTTGGGCCTCCTGGGAGGCCCTCGTCGCCACCGCTGGATTCGCCTCGGGATTCTGGTCAGGACGCGCCCCGGGAGAGGTCCGGGGAGCAGCGGTGTCGGTACCTCTTGGTTGCCCCAGAAGACGAGCACTGGGGAACCGACCCCAGCCCCCGCAGCATTGGATTCTGTAGGTCAGCGTTTTACACCTGTGGCGAGTGTGCGGAGGTGCGGGCGCCCTGTGGGGGAGGCCACTGCCGGCTGCCGCCCGGGGGCGGCCCCGCGCGCGCGGTCCAGTCGGTCCACGGTTCCTTTGTGCGGGGGGTGGGGGTCGGTTTTCATGCGTTCCTGTGATGTTTCAACCTGCTTTAGCAGTGACCACCCGAAATAATCTCGAGCACCAACGGAAGAACGATACCGACATCGGAGGGCTCTCACGCGCTGGGCCCTGGGAGGCGATACGCGTTCGACACTGTTTCGATCCTTTTCTGGGTGCTCGAAATGATTTTCGGGATGTTAAAAGTACGATTGGGGCAACATACCTCTAGGCCTGGAGTGCGGCGATGGCGGCAGTCTTCCTGCGCGACGAGGACGTCCACATCCTCTGGGCATGGATACGGGGCCGCGATTTCAGGACCGCGCCCCGTGAGAGACCCTCGCGCCGAGGTGCTTGCGGACCGCAGATGTCGACCCGAGGTCGCGGCCGCGCTTCGTCCTGCGCGCTCAGTGTCGCGGCCGCGCTTCTTCCTGCGCGCTCACAGTCATTTCTGCTGCGGTCAATTGAGAAACACTGGCCCTCTGGGAGGAGGAGGACGAAGGGGAAAAGACAGGGCCCGTCACAAATCGACCGATTCCGACATGCTCGCGATCCGATGCGGTCTCCTTATGGCCTTGATGTGCAGCCCTGCGCAGCTGGTCCGATCCGATTCCGACTCTGCGCCTATGCAGCCCGATCCGGCGCATACTCCGATTCGGTCCGATTTCTCGATTAGGTGCTGCCCGGTCCTGTAAGAGGCGCGCGATGAGAGCGTTTTTATTCTCGGGCGATAACGGGCGTTACTGGGGTGGGTGGAGGGGGACGGGGGCCCGTAACGTCACGTTTCGCTCCGGCGCCGTCTGGGAGTGTCTAGGCATAGCCAACGACAACTCGGAGTTCTGCACGAATCGTGACCTTCCCTAGGGCGGGTGGCAGGGCCGTACCATAACGGCCGTCATCGCGTAAAGTGCCGCCCTCGAGAAGCCTCCCTCGCCCTTCGCCCCGAGGCCAGACCCGCCCAGGATGCCAGGGGCCGTCCGGTTCAATGATTGGAGGTGTCGCTTATTCCAGTCGATGCTTCCTCCCCTCAGCTGGCCCCCCCTTTCGCGTTGCTCAGGGCTTGACCTGACCTGTGTGTGTTGGCGGCGATTTCGTCGACCGCTGTCTTTTCGATATCGTTTTGAACCCACGGAGGGGCGACGGCAAAACGAGGGACAACGAAACTTTCACGAACATAGCACGAACAACGGACAACACAAACCGAAAAACAGGGAAACGAACATAGCGCGAAACTGATACGAGCAACGGACAACACAGAACGAACAACGAGGGAAAACGAAGATAACGAAGCATAGCCCGAGCATTCCTCCTCCCAAATCGGGGGACAGCGAGCATAACCCGAAACACGGACAACACCATGCAGGCCTCCCCCGCATCGATGGCCCCGCGCCAAGGCCAGACCCGCCGCCGCCCGCCGCTTGCGGCCGGGCCTGCGAGGGGGACGCGGCGGCAGGCTGGGCTGCCGCGGGGTAGGAGGAGGAGGAGGAGGAGGAGGAGGAGGAGGAGGAGGAGGAGGAGGAGGAGGATGGAGGGAGGAGGAGGAGGAGCAGTGAGGAGGAGGAGGAGGAGCAGGAGCATGAGGAGGACAGCAGGAGGGAGGAGGAGGAGGAGGGGAGGAGGAGGAGGAGGAGGAGGCAGGAGGAGGAGGAGGAGGAGGAGCGGAAGTGGAGAAGGAGGGAGGAGGAGCAGGAGGAGGAAGAGGAGGAGGAGGAGGAGGAGCAGAAGGAGGAGGAGGAGGAGGAGGAGGAGGAGCAGAAGGAGGAGGAGGAGGTGGGAGGAGGAGGTGGAGGAGGAGGAGGAGGAGAGGAAGTGGAGAAGAAGGAGGAGGAGGAGCAGGAGGAGGAGGAGGAGGAGCAGAAGGAGGAGGAGGAGGAGGAGGAGGAGGAGGACCAGGAGGAGGGTCGCCGCTGGTCGCCAGGGTCTTCGTTTTCCCTCTCGAGCTGCTTGTTTGTTTGCTCGTGTTCCTGAGATCTGGATTCTTATGTCTTGTCTTACTCGTCTCGTCTGCCTTGATTCGGTTACCAGTTGCTACTTGCATTTCTTGTCATTGTCTTGCCAGAAGTCCTACTCGTATTGGTGCGCTTCGTCTTATAGATCTTCGTCTCATTCATATGCCATAATGTGATTATCTCTACTATTCTTCTCCTGTTCGTTCATCCCTCTCGTCGTCGTCGTCGCGGTATTTTTCGGACTTCTGGATCTCCTGGGCCCCCCCCGCCACGAGCAGGCCGAACGATGATCAGGCACGGCGATGCAGCTTTGCGGCGTCGGGCTTTCGGATCCCTGGACGTCAACGTCTTGAACACACCAGGGCGGAGTTTTTCGCAACCTCTGCCCCCCCCCCTTCTGAGATCCGACGCCGCGAACAACACAGCAGCATCGGCAGAACCCACGGCCAGAGCCCCATACCCCACATCCTTCGGCAGACCCCGAGGCGGAGCGACCGTGAGGACCCCCGCGCCCGCATCCGCGCGACGAGGCCCGTTGTGAAAGCATTGCGGCGCCAGGGTCCCAGGGTTACGTCGGGCAAGCAAATGATGACGGGGACGATGGTTCGACTATTTTTGTTTTTTTTGCACCTGTTGACATTTTTTTCCTCCAACATCCGCCTGTAGGGGGACATGCCCGACCTACTCTCAGGGCTGCTCGCCAAGGGTCTCAGGGACGCCGAGGTGCATTCGGTTCATAACTTCGAGGAAAACCCAACTCTGGCGACGAGGAGCCTGCGCGAGGCCCAGCAGGGATCCAAAACACCCAACACCTCGATCCGTCCAGGCCTCCCCTCCTGGGTCCGAGTAGCCGAGTAGATGGGGTCCGAGGATCGCGCCGCATCGTCGGTGCATCGCTGGTGCGGCGCGATGTGGAGCCTGGTTTCCTCAACCCAGGCGTCACCGATACACTGTTAACGTCGCCGATGTATCGCCAATACATCGGCGGTGCACCGGAAATGCGGCGCGATCCTCCGACCCCATCCACTCTGCATGGGGTATTCATGCAAGGGGGAGTGATTGAACTGCCGACAGAACTTGCCCATCTCCCCCCTCCCTCCCTCCTGCTCCTCCTCCTCGTCCTCCTCCTCCTCTTCCCCTTCCTCCTCCTCCTGCTCCTCCTCCTCCTGCTCCTGCTCCTCCTTCCCCTCCTCCTCCTCCTCTTCACCCTCCTGCCCTCCTCCTCCTCCTCCTGCTCCTCCTCCTCTTCCTCTTCCTCCTCCTCCTCCTGCTCCTCCTTCTGCTCCTCCTCCTCCTTCTCCTCTTCCCCCTCCTCCCCTCCTCCTCTTCATCCTCATCCTTGGACCCGTTGGGGGGGCACATCCTGTCGGATCGGGTGAAGTTGAAGCGAGGGTGGATGATGACGAGGAGGAGGAGGAGAAGGAGGAGGAGGAGGAGCATAAGGAGTAGGGGGACGAGGAGGAGGAGGAATAGGGGAGGAGCGGGAAGAGGGAGTGGAGGAGATGGAGGTGCAGGAGGAAGAGGAGGAGGAGGGAGGAGGAGCAGTTGGAGGAAGGGGAGGAGGTGTAGTAGTAGTAGTAGTAGTAGTAGTAGTAGTAGTAGTAGTAGTAGTAGTAGTAGTAGTAGTAGTAGTAGTAGTAATACTACTAGTAGTAGTAGTAGTGGTAGTAGTAGTAGTAGTAGTAGTAGTAGTAGTAGTCGTAGGTCGTAGGTAGTAGGTCGTAGT